AATCTTTAATATTTATTATTTTACAAAATTAATTTATAAATGACACTATTTTCAAGATCTTATTTCCTTGGAAGATCCCGAAAAGAAGAAGATAACTCATGCTTAGAATCTTGACTACAAAATACAAATCAATTCATTTTAATAAAGGGAACATACATAATTATCATCGATTATTGCGTTGCCGCAATTGTCTCCAATACTAGATTTTATAAAATAGTTATTGAATCAAAAAGCTTATAATAAAATGTATTCTATGGGTCGTTATCATAGTTGCCCTCATGCCTCAACAATAACTCTCATCACTGACGATGCCGTAGACGCTGCCTTTAATATTAATTAAATAAATCGTCCTATGGCATATGGGATGACGATAGAAATATTTAAAATTTATTTTATCTTTTATTTAATTCAATTATATACTAATTTTATACACTACCCCCACCTATGACATATTTTACTATTATAGCAAACGCGACCCATTAAGAATGACAATAAATTTCAAAGTTGACATTTTGGCTAGAGAATTCCAAGTGTCAGAATGATAAAGACTCCAAAATATTAATTGATGTCATAGCAACCTAAAACTGGAAGTAAGAATTTTTAAATTATACAATTTTTGCATGCACTTTTTTTGTAAATTTAATGAGTTGATTAGTTGATGCTTAATAACAAATTATTTTTTACTAATATTATCAATAAAAAATAATTATAATATTTTATTATTTTATGGTGGAATACCTAGATGATTCTTTTAAATTATATACATTGAATGACCAAATAGACATTTTAACTTTATTAATGACTAGATATATACTTGATGCTGATATATCTCGTAAATCCATTACGCTGGCATATTTTTCTTTCACCCAAATTTCAGCACGTAACTCTTTTATATTTTATATCTCCTTCAAATTTTTGTTCACCGTTGAAGAATCTTGAAAATTTCAAACTCAAGAAAATTTCCATAATACAATATATATCCAAATAAAAATTGAACCAAATTTGAACCTTAGATCCTAGATAACCCCAAAAAATAAAAAGGTGTAAAATATAAATGAGCAAGGAAGAGCCAATTTGGGAAGAGGATAGGGGTTAGGGGAGGAGCTGTGGAGGCCTACCTCGTGAAAATATAGAAGTTGTTTTTGAAAAACACGTGACTCAATAATACCACTCTCATAATTTGAAAATGTGTATAATTAATGACCAGCTTGTCAACATCGACATGCTTATTAGCGTAACTTTGAATAAATTATTCAAACATTTGCATATTATATATTATAAGGTTTTCCCAAATAAACTAATAAAAAGTCGAGTAAACTTTACAAAAAGACATGTACTTGCAAAAAGTGAAGATACCATATATATAGATACACCACGTTAGCAGACAACATTGAATGGATAGAAAAAGAATTGTCTGCGGAAAAGAAAGTGTAAGTATAACTAAGATTAATTTGGGTGACTAATAGTAATAGTATTTTTTTTGTCTAATATAAGAGCTACACATGTACGTTATTTTCTTGCTTAAATAATACATTAAAAGGGATCGTTTGGTAATTGTATTAGAGATAAGTTATGCAGATATATATTTTCTTGCATAAGTAATATTATGATTGGTAGTTATTTAGGAAACAAATTATTTATGTAGAAAATTAATATGATGTATTGATTTGCAAGTTTAAAACATATATACCTAATACATATATAAATTATGAAGGAATTCATATATACTATTTTATATGGTATAAAAAATAAAATAACTAATAAATAAATAATTAAACCCTATAAAATTAATATTTATATAAAATAATACATAAATTTCTTATCAAATAATTTTTCTATTACTATCTGCCTAAGTCTAACCATCTATCAAACCACCTTAAGAATATACTACCTCCATCACAATTTATGTGATACATTCCAGATTTCGAGATTTAAACAAATCTATCTTTGATCATAAATATTTCATATATCTTTCAAATGTTTTGAATTGTAAATTATTATTACTTATAGTACTTTTTAAGTAATTTACAAATATATAGATATTTTAAAATAATTAAAGATTTCACGCGTAAATTATTTGTCAAACTAAAATTACTTGATCACTTTCAAGAAATAAAAAATATAATATAAATTGGTACGGAAGATTAGTAGTATATGATATGCAATGAAGAGCAAGCTAGGTAGAATATTGCATGCAAATCAGTGTTGCTTGCAAGCTTGTAATAATCAAAAGTTGTGATTTGTACTGAAGCCAAGCAAGCCCACCATGTGGCTTTCTCCTTTTTCATAGTTTTACAAACCAAGAAAAGTGAAAATAGACACTTGGACACCCACAACTACTAGTACTATCTTATCATATACACATAATTTGTTTGTATTAGTTTAAATGAATTAGAGGAAAATTTGTAATTTTAAAATAGTAAATATATGATCTATCAAAATATTTTTTAATTTTATGATCTTAAATATGTTAAAATTATCAAATTATTAAAAATGTGACATTTTTTTCTTAAATATGCTATCAAAAGAACGGTGAGTTGGATATTCTTCATTAGAAAACTTCATTGGTTAAATAAATTAAATATCATCTTTTTAATTGCATATTTTACGTGAATAACAACATCTAGAGTATATTATGTAATGCAACTATAGTTTTAATTATTTTTAATCCGTGGCTACAGTTTTACGAATTTTTGCTATTGGATTTTCTAATTGTATAAATCAAGAATTTGTATAATTCTGTCTCTGATTATGTAAATCCAAAATTTATATAATTCAGTTCTTGATTGTATGAATCTAGAATTTATATATGCTACCCTAGCTACTTGTATATGATTTAAGAAAAATTCATGATAAATTACCATATTTGTATATTGGGTAAGCGAAATAAACAAATGAGTTCCAAAAAATTCCTAAGTGTATAAATATATAATTTGTATGTATACTTACCCTGTCTGTATATTCGCAAGTGAAATATACAAACGGACAAGCGAAATATACAAATTGTTGCCTCCATTTGTATTTTACCATGTTTGTATATTTGCATACCGTAGCCTCCATATCAAACAAAACTATAGCTATGAAGTGCAATTATCAAAACTATAGCTATAGAACCTTATTATGACTATCACTTTGCTATTTCAAGAAATTTTCTCTATTTTTAATAGCAATTTTTATTTTTTCTGTCGAGGCCGAAGTTGATAGCAAAAAGAAAGTACGTAGTTTGCGAGATTTGCGACCAACCCGAACAGACAAAAAATTGGTACTCCCTATTTTTCAATTTATATTATATGATATTTTTCGGTTTTTTTACTTTTTAAAGTTTAATGTATAATCTTTATCAAGTATGTACTTATTCGTGACATATACTTAATTAGCAGATAATCTTGATTAGCTAGCAGATAAATGTCACTTTATGTCATATCAATCTTCTTAAAATCCCATATTAAAGCACATAAATATCACTTTAATTAATTAATTCATACCGATCTTCTAACTAAAATCCCATACTAAAGCAATTCTACTGGAATATTACTTAAAAAAAAAAAAACTTTCACGTAGATCTAAAAAAAAACTATATTATTTTTCTAAATGTTTTCTATAAATATAATATAGATAAGGGGGGAGAGAGCTATATATATCTCATAAATAGCTTCACTGAACCTGGAAAAAAAGTTATGAGCTTTAGGTACTATGAATACTAATGGAAGAAGGAATCAAAGGCGCATTCAATTCTCCTTAAGAAACTCAACTAATACAGTGTACAAGTGCAACTTTAGCCCCACCAACTTGGATTGTCGTAGTGTGACTGCTTTATCCTTAATTAGAGTTTGCAAGTTTGAGCTTTGGTTATAAAAAATATCATGTTGAAAGTACTACGCAATCAGAATTTTAGTCAGTTCTCCAATATAGGTTCCAGACACCGGAAGAAAATAAAAAAAAAAAATGCAACTTTAGCCCCACCTCCTACCCCCTACCCCATCAAAGACATATATCAAGTTGTGAGTTCACATATAGACGAAATCTCCACCCCCTACCATACAAACCCTACTATATCAACAAAGTAATCCCTACTCTATAACCGTGATGTATACACAAATTAAGTCTTTGTATATTTAGGTAAAAAAAAAAAAGAACTCATCACGTTTTATACAGATAAATAAAAATATCATTAGATATACTACTTATACCCACATCGTCTAAATTTTGAATCAGTTAAAGAAATTTGTAACCCCCAAATGTTTTACGTTATGATTCTTGTTTTCTAACCTTCTGCGTTCCCTTAATTTAGAAATAGTTATTGTGAAATTTAAACTTTAGGACATGAAGACTTCTGCCGCGTCAAATATGATGAAATGAAATAGCATAGCGCTCTAGCTAGATTTGAGTCATGGTCTTAGGGGTGGATCCTTTGCTTATACCAGTTGCACAAGAGAACTCATATGCTCCTTATAGATGCACTGTTAATAATATACTAATTTCTATTATTTTTGAAGTTAATAGGTATACGTGAACCTCGACTGATAAAGGTGATCCGCCTCTGTTATCATGAAAATTTTATCTGGTGTAATTTAAATCATGAAATTGAACCCCCTCTTCCTATCCTTGCTACCTATGAAACGAGTCCCTCTTTCATTCACTAAAGAAGACGCAGCTGATAGATGGATGAATATACATATTTAATGATGCGATTACTATTTCTACACGATTATGTCATGCAAGTCTCAATCCGAGTGATAAATACATCAAGAAAGATATTAGGCAAAATTAGAAAAGTCAACAACTTAGATTTTTTGGAGGTTTCATCGATGTTCAATATACTCGAACTAATCTAAATTCACATCGGGTAGCCCATTTGCAAATAGTGCTACTTATTAAGAATTTTTGTATATTCATAGTTCAAACTTGAAACATGTAAATAGAAAACGAACAACTTAATCTACCGCAACCAACCATTTGATGATAAGCTAAGAAATTAGATAAGAAAATTGAAGGCTAGCTTATGGTAAACCCATAATTATCATCTACTAATTTGTACATATAATATAGAGAGAGAGGGTACGCTACATTGAGAACTTATTCATCTAGGTAGGTAGGTAGCATAGGGCCATAAAAGTAGTACTCTACTAGTCAAAAGAGAAAAAAAAAACTTACAATTATCCATAAGGAAGAAGATAAACATAATATTAACAAACACATGAAAAGTTTTTATTTATTTTTCCTTTTAATTTAACACATGACATCCTTAAGAAGTTTGTACCTACGGGTGGACGTACGAGGTGAAGGTGCACCACCATGATTATTCTTTGGTTTTTGATCATGAGCCGTTGATTCTTCTCTGTGATTATGATGATCATGGTTTTGCTGTTTGATTTTGTCGCCACCTGGATATTCTGATCTGCTGCTACTCATCATGATGCCTTCAGCTGATGATTTCCTAGAAGAACTTCCACGCCTTGAACTGCTGTTTCTTTCTTCACTTTGACACCAGTCACACACCTCTATTCCCTCTGACAATTCACTATAGTAGTTGCTACAATACCTGTAAAACTCCGATACGAATTCAAAATTTAAATTTTATGAGTTCAAATTACTCCATCTTTTACTTGTTACAATTCAAGTTATATATGCATGACTAATTAACTCCTAATAATCATGATCATACAAAACAATAATAATGTTTGATCAGGATCGGCGGTATGAATTCGCAGACTCAAAGCGTTGATTGATCAAAAGACCCTTTGTTTTACTCAATTTAAGTTTGCGTCGTACTATATTATCATAAAACATAAAAAGTAGTACCAGAAGTAATCTTTTCTAGTGATAGGTAAATTTCTGACATGACTAAACGATTCATAGAAAAGTTATTAGAAACATAGTATATTATATGACCTAATTACATAATAATAAATCGTTAATTATTACTTAAAATTAATTAATCTGTAGAAGATCATGAGAAATAATTAGTACGAAATTGTTGGTAGGATGTTTGTTCCCTCTGATAGTGTATGGTGGCGGTGGGTGGACGAGTGTCATGTTTGGTTTGCCACAACCAAGAAAGTTAAAAAAAAAAAATGATAGATGGAGTAATAATACGGACAGAAAATCAGTCAAAAAGACTCTAATGAAAAGCCTGACTGACCCAACACTAACCCAAACTGTGGTTACAAGAAAAGTACTACAACAAAAACAAATTATATGATTGGTGAATTGATCATCAATTGTGAAAAAGGTCATCATTGACATGAATGTGTATGCAGATTTCAACCGAATTTGATGCAAATTTAAAAAGTAAAAAAGAAATTATGATTCAAAACTCGTAAACTAAAAATTGTGAGAATTACTTACGAGTGTTGGTAACGGTGGTAGCACTTGGAGCAGCGGAAGAGCTTTTCCGGGAAGCCAACGTCGCCGCACATGGAGCATACTTTCTGAAGATCCACCATTTTTTTATTTTTTTGTTTGTTTGAAGGCAAAAAGGAAGATGTAGAGAAAGAGAGAAGCAAATGCCTAAAACAACCAAAATAAAAGCACTTTTGAGTCGGTGTTTGCGCGTCATATCTCATTTATATAGAGGGACACTCTTGGTTTTTGGTTTTTTATATATATTATATAGTGGAGCTAGTCTCGATATAATTCTAATAGTTTTGATCAATCTAATAACTTATTAAAGATTTAATAAGTTATATTTTATAATATTATATTTTAATGGATTATATATAATTTTTATTATTTGATTAATTAGATATATGTTAATTAATTAATGTGAGAGGGATATATATATACAGGTAGACCACAGGTTGCTTGCAGTCGTTTTCAGTTAAAGGGATAGAAGGTGTGAACCTTAAAACACTCTGAGCTAAAATTACCTCTATGCCCCTGTGCTTGATATAAGGGTGTGTTTGGTTTTTAAAAAAAGTTTTCCTAAAAATTATTTTGTTGGAAAATAAGGGTTGGGATAATACATTTCACAATATATTTTAATCCAATTTTTATTTATATTTTTGTCATTTTCTGTCTGGCACTTTTTCAGGAATAAAGGTTTTGGTTTACGTCTATTGTTGTAAGTAGCGATGTCAAAATCAAACCCAACTCGTCTAATTTGTTCAATCGTCAATTCATTAGCTTAACTTATTTAATTTATTAAAAATTGAGTTGATATTTAATTTTAATTGGCTCATGAAAAACATGTTAAAATATTTTTAATTTTTTTTTCATTTGATATGTTGTATATAGTCATAATAAAGAATTTTTTTTATTAGATACTTAAAGAACAAATAAAATAATTCAGCTTCGTAAAAATTGAATCGGGTTTAGTCTTAACTACTGTAATTTATTACATAATGACTCAACCCATTTTGACATAAATAAATTTGAATTGGATTGAATCTTGATCCAATTATTATCTTAATTTATTATAATCCGTCCAAATTTAACTCAGTCCACTTAATTACTGCCCCAAATTTTGAGATATTTCAAACAGCGTGAGGAACAATTCATGCCACAAGGGAATTTCGCGTGTAAGTTCTATTTTCACCTTATTAAGAAAATCATATAATCAAAAGAAAAATGTTGATGAAAGTCTTTAAATATATTATATCAAACAAGAATGTGGAACAAAATAATTACATTTTCTCTTATATGAAACAAAAAAAATTCTATCATACTCTCTTTATTTATTTTTATTTGTTTAATATTGCCTTCACATATCTTTTAAGGAGTAATATATTAAATATCAATTTTATTAAATCACCCTTTAATAAATATAATAAATGCAATGTTTTAAAAAATGACTATAGTTAATAATAATGATAAATTTATACTAAGTGGTAAATTATTTTTTAATTTTTAGCATCTATTTTTAATATAATGATAAGTAAAAAAGTAAACATAGGAAGTATTATATATAGTATTAAAATCTCGTGTGTGTTGTGATGATACATTTTCTTTCTCTCGGCTAAATATTACTCCATCTGTTTCAATTTATTTCTCCGATTTAACGTGGTACAAAATTATAAAATAAAATAAAATATTTTTATGATTTTAAATAAAAATATGTAGAATATATCAAAATGTCTTTTATTTTTATAATCTTAAATATGTCATGTAAAACGTTAAAATTATAAAATTATGCAAATAAAGAAAAGATGTGTTTTTCAACTAACTAAAAGTAAAATAAAACAAATAAATTGAAACAAAGAGCGCAGTATACACAATGAGTTACAAGTTGCAACCAATTAGTATTCAGTACGTACATTGTTTCCATGAGAATATACATACAACAAACTGTATAGTCCATTATTTTACTCAGTACTGTAGAGAATAGCATAAGAAAAGTATACTAGGAAAACCTTCTGCTAGCCCAAGATCGTTAACTAAGATCGGAAGATTCAATTAAAGAAGAGGAAGCTAGAAAGGAGAACTTGTTTATGGAAGAAAACTCTTTGATTTGAGTTGCTCTTGGATTAGTTACAAATGACTATGGCCACCCCTATTTATACTAGTGTGGGGATGCTTCTAGAAATTATTCTAGATAGATTTACAAGAAAAATCTAGGTGACCTTAGCTTCTAACTATCTAACAAGAATCTAGATTATTATATACTTTACTATAAATATCTAATTATCTAGAACATCTAGATATTTCTTAAGTATAAATATCAAAGATATTTACTCTACCAAATTCTTGAAAGTTCTACTAAATATCTAAGATATTTTTTGTACCTCCAAAAAATCAACATAAATTTTTCACACTCCCCGTTAAAGTGATTTTTTGGAAACTACCCCACACTTGTCGTGGAGGAGCTCAAACGGAGCTTTGAGCCACATCATGGTGAAAATCTCGGCAATTTCTTTCGGACTCCTCTTGCTTCTTCAAATGATAAAGATTTTCCGTTATCAAATGATCCACGTAAATTATCTCCTTGCTGATTTCTTGAACTCCCCCTTTCTCTTAGCTTCTCGACAACTATATTATCTAGAAAAACACTATCAATTTCCAATGAAGTCTCAACATCAACATAGGATCCACTGCCATATTTTTTTTTTTATCATCTCCTCGATAGATTTTTTGACAGCTTGAGAGCTTTCAAAAATCATATCGTTTGTCTTTTGAGACTGCAATATCAACTTCTTCCTCTATTTGGTCATCATTTTCTCCATTTGTTTCCAATGTTTGATCTAAGTTAGTTACTGAACTCGATATGACTGACAATTGATTAGAGACTTCAACTTCCTATACATCTTTCTCAATACTTTCTCCATAAAGGTCACCATCGGCATATATAGCTCCAGGCACTGCTCGTTCATAATTTATTTCCTTGATTTCTTCGATAGAAGCTATCATGTCACCAATATGAACATCTTCAAGAGTTTCTTGCTTCATTTCGATGACATCAGTGTCTTGCTTCTCCACGTGGTCGACTGCATTATATTCTGAATCCTCGATCCAATCTCTTTCAAGGTTGAGAGAAACCATAGCATCTATTGCTGGAGCCTCAGCTACTAAACACATTCCCCACTTTTCTTCTTCTTCAGTAACCTTTTGAGCCATATTACTCTCATTGGCTCGGCAATATCTTTTTATGTGTCCTACATTACCACATCGATAACATCTGGGAGTATTCTTACCATAATAGTTAGAAGGCTCTTCCTTCTTTCCAGGTGAGCTTAAACCACTTGAGGATCGAGAGTGTGGCATATCTCTCGTTTTTCCATTAAAGTTCCTCTTGTTGGCTACACGAGCATTTTCTTCTCCTTCTTTGACAAATACACTAGCCAACTGATTGGCTAGTAGTTCCTGTGACGACAATAAATTTTCAAACTCCTCCAATGATGGCTGTTGAGCCCATCCTTGAATCGACGTCACAAATGGAATATATTCAAGTTTCAACCCACGAATGACTATACTTCTCATTTGTGCTTCAGAAATAGCCTCCTCCGAATTGAATAAACCTATCTCAGAACATAAGTTCTTAATCTTTAAAGAATACTCGGAGATAGAAAGATTACTTTGAGTGGTGTTAGCCAATTCATTCTCCAATTTCTGCAGCCGAGCTTCATTCTTCTTGTTGAACAAGCGATCAAGGGTCCTCCATATTTCATGAGTTGATTTACACTTTATAATGTGATCAAATAAACCAGAGGAGATTGTCCTCTTTAGAATGAACTCTGCCTTCGCATTAATCTGCTTCCACTTCTTGTATGCACAACTATTTTTCGGTCCGTCAGTAGGAGGACTTGTGTCATTTCCATTAACAACATCCCACAAATCCTCTCCCACAAGATATGATTTCATACATGTATTCCATACCTTGTAATTGGACTGATTCAACAACTCTATCCCCAATCCATTAACACAACCGTTAAAATCCATCTACACAAACTAGTTGAATCTTTCACCAATCCGATCTTGAAATAATACCCCCAAGCCAATCTACGGCTATGGCTCTGATACCATGTAGGGAATAGCAGGAGAAAAGTATACTTGAAAAACCTTCTGCTAGCCCAAGATCGTTAACTAAGATCGGAAGATTCAATTAAAGAAGAGGAAGCTAGAAAGGAGAACTTGTTTATGGAAGAAGACTCTTTGATTTGAGTTGTTCTTGGATTAGTTACAAATGATTATGGCCACCCCTATTTATACTAGTGTGGGATGCTTCTAGAAATTATTCTACATCTTCTAACTAACTAACAAGAATCTAGATTATTCTATACTTTACTATAAATATCTAATTATCTAGAACATCTAGATATTTCTTAAGTATAAATATCAAATATATTTACTCTACCAAATTCTTGAAAATTCTACTAAATATCTAAAATATTTTTTGTACCTCCAAAAAATCAACTGTAATTTTTCACAAGTACATGTAATAACAGGTGTAATCCTTATCTAGTTCATCAAATCAAAAATAATATCCTATTTTAATTATTATTTATTTATATGCAGGTTTTCTTACCTTGTAGGCTAATAAATCAAATGACTGCCCATACAAGAAAACAATCTCATCATTAGACTTAAAAATATTCTTCCACATAATAATTACTATATAGTTAATTAAATAATGACAAATATAACGCACCACCTATATAAGCTTATTCTAATGTGTAGTACATTCTCTGCCCAAAATAAAAAGAATATATGGGGTATACCTTGATAGGAAATATTCTTTATTAATAAATCTTACGTGATATAAATTAAACTTAATTTGAGCTATAAATAAAAAGTGAATGGAGTATAACGTTGCACTTAATACTATGCAAGACATTGAGGATCTTGAGCTTCTATCTGTTGAAGAATGTCGATAAAAATGTTATTGATCAAAATAGCAAGAGGCAATTCAATTAGAACTAAACTTACTTGCTCTCATAAAAGAGATTATAACCTAATTTTCAACTCTTTTCTCATTTTTGAAGTTATATTTAAATACAATTAAGTATGAACATTATTTCGAATTATCATTTTTTATAAAATATAATCAAACATAATACACTACTATATCTTTAATTTCATTTTCAAAAAAATTATTTCTCAAGTACATACTTAGACACTTTGGGAAGAACCTAGCTATACTTTGTAATTGAATTAACACTACGTAGCAGATTATACAGAAAATATTATTGGATTGATTTTAGAGATTTTCCTTAAGATTTTTCTCTTATCACACGAAATCTCTTTCATCGTTATGATATTAAATTATTTAATCTTTTGTAATAATTTTTTAATCTATTTATTATCACTACAATAAATTATGACACGGCTATGCTAAAATAGTCTCTTATTTAATTAATAATTTTATAAGAACTTTTTCCAAAAAAGAAGAAGAAGATAATAATCCTTTATAATTTAAAATAAATAAATAGTATGGCTCAGAAATAATTGAAAATAACAAAATAATATAAAGATATGCATATAAAATCTCTTCCCTATATGTGATCAGATCAAAACTTGTAAATGAGTTCACGTTTTTCTTTCATTTTTCAATCTTCTTTTTTTTTGTGGTTCTTGGAAATTGAAATTGCGTTATTTTATTTTTTTGTTTTCTTGCGATTCTTTTCAAATTTACTTGTTTAAACTTTACTCTGCCCCCTATTTATAAAAAAAAATTGTATTTTATTATATTAATGAAAAATAGGTAAAAGGAAGAAAATTTACATAAATTTTTTTATCTTAAACTACGATAGCGACTAAAGTGATGCACTAAAACTTAAAAAGAAGTTTATAAAACTATCCTTTTTTATCAAATACTGTACTAATATTTTTCGTAGACTACTTTATAATAGGAAAAAAAACTTTATTTGATTATCGACTTCCATCACTCTTGATTGTAGTTTTTAATATCTTTTATTTATTTGATTATCGAGATTTAACACCTCGTAAGTTGCTAGACTTTTTAAATATTTTCCCTTTACTTTGATTAGACAATTGAAATGAAAACGACCTAATGACAATAACATAAAGAATAAAAGTTCTCTTATGTCGAGCATCGAAATAATTACTAATTATTAAGTAGAGGGAGTCATGGTGATGGTGGGATAGGGTAAATAGTAATTCTTAATCAGAAATTTCGAGTTCAAATCAATAAATATTTATAAAAAAAAATTTAATGAGTGTCATGCAAATGTAGATAAATCATATTTCAATTTGGATATTAAATATTGAGCATAAGTAAAATAATTTTATTCCATCTGTCTAATTAATATAACACATTTTTTTAGTCAAATTAAAAACGAATGACATATTTTATATTTAGTATTCTCTTTGTTTCAATTTGTTTAACCTCTTCTTTTTAATCCGTTTAGAAAAGAATCATCTTTTCCGTTTTTAGCAACTCTTTAATTTTAATTTTTTTACGTGACATGTTTAAGTACACATGATTAATTTTTTTTGATATATAACATATCTTTAATTTTAGACAACAAAATTCAAAAGTCTTTTTTTTTTCAACTTCATGTCAATTTAAAATAGGTCAAACAAATTAAAATAGAGGAAGTAACAATTTAACTTTAAAATATTTGTTTTATTCTTAATAGAATGATTTATAGTCATAGATATATCTATGAATTGATCTCTATCTTTTTCTTATGTATTGTATATCTCTCCCAAACCAAATGAATACCATCACTATTTATAGTAGAAGAAGTCTTCCTAGCAATGAATAGGAAGATAATGGTGTAGTAAATAGTGAAGATAATGGTTTTAGGAGTTACATAGGTTACAAGGATAATGGAGGAGTAAAGAATGGAATAATGAGAGGGGTAACCAATGCCTCTAACGTGCACTTGCACAACGGCCAAGTTTCCAACGTTCACAGAAAGCAGCAAAGTGCATAATGCCTATGGTCATTAATTGACCACTAAGTAATGAGGTACAAATGCATGTAACTCCCACGTCCTCTATTCTATCTTCATGGCAGAAAGGCTATACTAAGTTTTAACAAATTAATATACAAAATATTAATAGTAAAATGCTAATAAACCAACAGTCACTTTAGGGCCATTCGCTTGACCCAGATTATAACAGCAGTTGGCTGTATGTATTATGTTTTGCTTACCGTAATTGGGCTAAGCTGGTAAAGAAAAGCTTGCAAGTAGTTGGGACCATAACTGAAGGTTGTTGGAGGATTTTTAGGTCCATTATCGTATGTAACACGATTATCAAGAGCAGTTACTACTTCTGTTGATGCAAATGCCTGCAGTTACAAAGTATATTTAGTTCCAAATATGTAAGGGGTCGTTTGGTGTGAGGGATAATATCAAATAGTCCCGGGATTAAATTATAGTACCGCTTATTTTGTTGTTTGGTTGGCAAGTTCGGGATAACTTATCCCGGGATTAATAATTAGTACCGGGATAAGTTATCCCTCTCCTTGGGTGGTATAGTAATCCCGGGATAACTTATCCCGGGATAAAATAGGTAAATGACAAAAATGTCTCTTTCAACCCTTTTGTTGTATCACTTTTTACCTTAATGAAGGGCATTTTTGTAAATAAATAAATTGTTCTTAAAATTTATTATTTTGAATATAACAAACCAAACACTCAATAAAAAATAATCCCAACACAACTTATCCCATCATAACTAATCCCAACATAACTTATCCCAACATAACTTATCCCATCATAACTCATTTTCAAACCAAACGACCCCTTAATCTACAAATATCAAAAACCTTTATTTCTTTCTCAAACTTTGTTCAAACCAAATAATGTCATAATTATTCAGTCTAGCTCATCATGACTAGATCATGACCTTAGGTGAAACTGATCTTGATCGAAAGAACGGAAAATCCCAACAAACATAAAAAAAAAAAACTTCATGTCAAGTTGAATAACGTTACATAAATTAGATGGGAAAAAGTAAATATATTTTAATTAGGTGAGCCTAGCTAGCTAGTTAGTGAAGGGAGACAAAATAATGGGGAGCAAAGAACATGTTCTGTCAGTTTACTTTTTTCGATTGGTAGCTTTCCTCTGCCCTTGGGGGGAAATAAAGGAGAGAATATATCACCACATTTTTATAGATTTTAATTAAGTACTGATTCCATAGAAGATTAGGGAACAGATACTCCTAATTAATTTTATCATGCAAAAAATAAAAATACTTTTATGGTGTGGTAAGATGGAGGCAGAAAGGTCATATCTTTCCTTTTATGAAATTAAAGATTCTATTTATAAAGGAGATTTAATTAAATGCTTTGTTGGTGGACATGATGAAGAAATAGACGTTTTAGTATATGCTCAAAATATGGAGTTACGTTACATCTTTTCTTTTAGTACCATAGAAAAGAGAGAAATCGATATTTAACGATATATAGTATAAGTTTTATTAGATTCACACTGTAAATAATTTATATGTAATAACATGGCTATCATATCAATATTGTGGAGTGTAAAGTGTGGAGGGTAGAAATATGCAGTGTTGTCTTGTTTTTTGAGGGATTTAGTCTTATTTTTCACTGTCGTTTTTTCTTATTCATACCAACTTTGATATGTTATACTCGAGCTGAGGATCTTTTAAAAATAGTTTATTTACCACTATGAGATAGAAATATAATCTACCATGCATATTCAAAATCAGTTATAATCTTTCACTAAATATGTTATTGTTGACGACTATGATAACAAGTTCACTATGAAAATTGAAAGTTACATATATGTGTTATTGATCAATTTAACATATATAGCTAAAGGTATCAAAATTATTTTCATATCAGTACACGTAACATAAAGTCGGAAGTTGGAATGCATGATCAATAAAAGTACACTCAAAATCATCAATAAATCAATTTAATATGCACACTTGTTTGATAGGACTTCTTTTTATATTTCTGATTTGAGTATGATCAATCAAATCTTCCTGTGAATATTTTA